AATGTAATGTAATGTGTGTAAATCGAAGAGATAATACATTTTACAGCATATACCGAATGTTAGGAAATGCATGTGTCTGTAATAAGAAGATGAATCCACGAGGATGTCAGCTACAATCCTGTGGAAGCCATCAGGGAAGCAGCATGACGAGACCCAAGGCAGGACCGCAGAGACAGGTTCAGCCACGACCCGAAGTCCACGACTTAATCCAGAACGCAGGATCGAGGATCCAAGACACAGGACTACAGCAAGAGGATCAGCCTCGACTCCGGATCCCGGCGTAGATATAGATACAAAACAAGAAAAAAGATTTGGCTGGGTTAATCGGAACAAGAGAATACACAGACACAGACAGAGAAGGAAAAGGTCATTGGATAAAAGTTATTCTTGATAACCCTCTAGAAAGATCTCATGGACTTCCCCACTCAATCTATCAAGACCCGAGCAGTTCTATTAGATATAGGATAAGAAACAGATAGGGAGCACAACAACCTATCTCTTCGTCAGATGCACTCCCCCGCTTATCTAAGCGACTCTGTACCCCGTTACCCTCTACAAGGCCATAGACCAGCAGAGGGGTAATGTGGGGTGGGTAAGGGTTTTTAAGAATAAACCGCAAGGGTCTAAAGGGAAAAAATATGAAATATAAGCTATATTTTAAGTAATCCTATCTACTATTCCTATATTCGAATAATGTATAAACTATTTTAGAAATACTTTATGAAATCCTATGTTATGTAAATATTAAAATAAAGAACTAAATGAATAAATAGATAATTAAACAAAAGCCAAAGAGAAAAAATGAGTTTTAAGTGTTGATTTAAAACCCCCCAGGGTCTGGGCCGACCTCACATGGAGGGGCAAAGTATTCCAGAGCCTAGGGCCAGCCGCTGCGAAAGCTCGATGCCCTCGGGTTTTAAGCCTGGTCTTAGGCACTATCAACAGCAGCTGATCAGCCGACCTTAAGGCTCTGCCTGGGGTGTAGCGATGGAGGAGTTTGGCTATATAGGCAGGAGCCAGCCCATTTAGGGCTTTAAAAACAAATAAAAGGAGTTTAAAATCTATTCTGAACCGAACTGGAAGCCAGTGCAATGAAGCCAGAATTGCGGTGATATGGTCGTGCTTTTTATGGCCAGTGAGAAGATGTGCAGCTGCATTCTGAACTAGCTGGAGGCGTCTAATTGAGGCCTGGTCCATTGCATTACTGCGCATTGCAGTAATCCAGTCTCGAGGTAACAAAGGCGTTAATAACCCTTTCTAGGTCTTTAAAAGATAAAAACGACTTAGTAGTCGTATTTTGAAAAAACAGGTCTTGACTACAGTGCTAACCTGCTTATCAAATGTAAAGGCGCTGTTGAAGGTCACTCCAAGGTTCATAACAGAGGGGAAGATATTTTTATTGAGAGAGCCCAGAATATCAACCGGGGAGACTGTTGGTTGGGGTCCAAAAAAGATGACCTCGGTCTTGCTCTCATTGAGGGTGAGGACGTTTTGGCTCAGCCAGGATTTAATCTCTGTTAAGCAGTCCTTCAACTGCTGTAGTGAGTTGGCATTTTGATTGAGAGGCAGGTAAATCTGTACATCATCAGCGTAACAATGGAAGGGGATATTATGTTTTGTGAGAATTGAACCTAGGGGCAGTATTTTACTATGACCTACAAGGTTAGAACCATACCAGCAATGCTGTTCTGCTGGTGAGTAATTACGTTAATGTCTTCAGGCAGGTAGCTGCACGCCCTGAGCAGGCAAGGAGCATTCACTTGTATGTGAGTCAGCAGAGTTATTTGATCAACTTAATGCTGGATCTACGGACAAAAGAGTTGAAAGCATTAATGATATTAAACTGAGAGTCAATTTCCTGCTGATTATTAATGTTCTGTGTGTGCTGACCACAGTGTACACAGTAAGTCCTTCTGCTTGGAAATGTGCTGCTGTGATATTCTTACAGTTTACATGTTCACTAAAACACAGACAATTTTATATTTTAGAGTAGGGTCCACACAATTGGACTTAGCACGTTTTATAGTTGTTAAGACTAAGTCTGCCATAAAATAGTTGTATTGGTCCATTTCAACCTGCAGGAGTTTCTGATCACTCGGGTTGCATGATTTACTGCAAAATATGATAAAGTCTAGACTGTTCAAAACAAATTAAAGATATCTCCTCACATCTTTACTGCAGAACCTAAATCACCTGACAACAGCCAAGAAGTCCTTCCCTGACTGACACTTAAAAAGCCATTTGTTTACTGTTTTGTAATGTTTAAAAGAGACCTTATTGTTTCCCTTTCTTCATATAGGTACATGTAATTCAGGTCACAGGTTTATCTGCATTTACATTATTATTGTTTTAACCAAATGCAAAGTTTATGTTCCAGATGTGCCAACTACGGCCACAAGGTGGTGCCTTTGAGTAACAGTAGTCACATCATACAAATATGAAACTGAAAATAAGCATATTTCCTCTTTAACATGTCGTTCTTTCTCACCAAAGATATCAGAAAGATCTACATTAACTGCACAAATAGATGCATTCCTTAAACTGATAAGGCTCAGTCTAGATGTAGAAGAGTCAGATACTGAACCACAGTATGTGTGACTTTAGATGGTGAAGATGTATCTTTGGGTAAAGCGTCTAATGCATGTGAACTGAAGCTGGATTTTTATAGGACTTACCTGAGGCGTGATGAACGCTGGAGAAATGGAGGTGAATCATGTCAAACAGATGATGAATTAAAAGCTTATAACTAAAATAAAGATGAACTATTCAGACCTTGTGGTTAAATGCCATTGGTTTATTACTTCAGGCCAAAAAACGGGAACCTTCAGAGAGAAAGATCAGAGCTGTAACACCTGACATAAACCTTAGACTTGACATAAAAAGGCACATATAGTTTTACAGCCTACGGTTTTCAGGCCTAGAGTTTGGTGTTTTGGACGTCAACTTCCTTCATGAACTTTCCTGAACTGAAAACATCCTGTGTTTAAAAGGTTAAAGTTTTAGCACTGAAACACGGACAACACCCCAACCGGACAACGTGTTCAAGACCTGTCAATCACATATTCAAGACCGTGTGTGTGTGTGTGTGTGTGTCTGCCTGTGTGTGTGTTTGAGGAAGTTGTTTGCACAAAGACCTGAAAGCATCCTTATAGCATGACCTTTTAAATACAATAAAGTTCTCTGTTTTGTTACAGTCTTAATTTGTGTGTGAATTTCTTCAAACCACCCCGACCCTTACCAACCAAAAGAGGTCTGATTATGTCGCTTGAACAACAACTTACAATCTATTTTTTAAGCTTCAGCCATCATTCTCATGTATTAAGCTGGAGTCATTATAATAAAGTAGAGGTTTGGATTGTGGACTGTGAATTTGTCACTTCCATATTGTGGTCATTATCACAGTATTTGTCACCATTTATATTTTGTCTCTATATCTTATAGTTTAAAACTTTTCCCTGACAGTTTTTACACCCTTTTATTAAAGTAACATTTTTGGTGCAGGGCTTTTACCGTAACTAAATGCTCAAGGAACTGGAGGTGGTTCTGCTGTCAATCACAGTTTCAATAACACAGAACAATATCGACCTCTAGTGGTGAAAAAAACCAAAGCAGTACATAAACACAGATCAGTGACCAGTCAAAGGAAGTAGCTACACATAATACAACATATAACAGCAAATAGTGTTCTAAAATATCACCAAGAAAGAAAGTTTCCAAGTGCATAACTTCTTGCCTTTTTGACCTCATTTCCAAATGAACATCTGGATCAAGAAAAGTCCCAATATTCAAAAGCTCTCGATGTTAATGCTCCTAGAACACATTGTAATCAGATTTTAAACTATCAGATCATCCTTTGATGAGCCTGATATTATTTTAGATTCTTTATAAGTCAACAAATCCCAGGAAAAGACTCAAACTAGCATCTCAAAACTGTTCTAACTTCCAGTCTCTGGTTTTAGGCACCACGCCCATTGATTCCTACAGGAGATAACGTTTTAAAAACTAAAAAAATATATCCTATTCAGTATTCTCCCAGTATATTCCATTAGACATCTGGTGTCCCAGTGAGTGGTTGTGGCAGCAGGACAATGTAAGTTTGATTGCGTCAAAGTAAATTACAGTGTGCTTGTTCACAATGAAGGAACATGTTACCCAGTGCAGCAGTGAGGCTCATTGATGTGTTTTAAACAGCTTTTGGACAACAACAGAGCTGTTTGGGCCAAAGGAAGAAGATATAACAGGCTTTGATACACCCAATACTTGTAAGAAGATACATCGACTGTGGGTTTAGGTCTGAAAATAAGTAGGCGTATGATGTCATTTAAGGATCCTCAAACAGTGGAAGTGAAGAGTAGTCCAAAATCTGCCCTCACCCCGAAAAAATGTTCTCACTGAAACTGGTTCTCACACAAAAAGTGGTTTCATCAGTATTCCAGGCAGATGGGTTTCTTTTAATAAAATCATCTGGCTCTGGTTCCCAGTAAAACCAACACTAGACCACCAGGGGGCAGCAGAAAGGAGTGTGTTTACATGTGTGTGTGTGTGTGTGTGTGTGTGTGTGTGTGTGTGTGTGTGTGTGTGTGTGTGTGTGTGTGTGTGTGTGTGTGTGTGTGTGTGTGTGTGTGTGTGTGTGGTGTGTGTGGGGTGTGTGTGTGTGTGGGGGTGTGGGTGTGTGTGTGTGGGTGTGTTTGAGTTAGAGAGAAAAGTGAAAGCCAAAAAGAGCAAAAGAAAGTATGCATGCATGATCGTGCAGACAAATGTGTGTATTTGTGTGAGTGCCAACCTTGTTTGTATGCTTGCAGGCCTGTCACTGTGTGAGTCTGTTTGTGTGTGTGTGTGTGTGTGTGTGTGTGTGTGTGTGTGTGTGTGTGTGTGTGTGTGTGTGTGTGTGTGTGTGTGTGTGTTGTGTGTGTGTGTGTGTGCTGTGTGTGTGTGTGTGTGTGTGTGTGTGTGTGTGTGTGTGTGTGTGCTGACAAAGGCTCCATCCAGCCATACTGCAGATAGCTGCTTGTTCCCAGAGACCCTCAGAGCTCCAGGACGCCCAGTCTCTCTGCTATCTGCAGCCCAGACACAGCAGCCCCGACACGGACACGGACCCTCGCCCTACGCCCCCCCCTCCTGGAGCTCCAGCGCCTGTTTGGATTACTAATGGATGGGAAGAACACTGTCCAGTTTTAAAGTGGGAAACCTGGGGGTATTGACAGATTAAAACCACAAGCCTGAGAAGAGAAGAGAAGAGAAGACACCTTCATCTTTTCTGGACTACAAACCAATACAAAATCTATTGGACGATCTAGCAAACATCTGCATTTCTTCATCATCTAGAAACTTTCTGAAACGTTGGTAGACATCTAGCAACCAGCTGCAAGCTTTGGTGCATTTTAACCTTTTTTCTTCCCTGGAATTGTCGTCTTTACTCAACAAACTTCTGTCTTGAAGTCATTTTCCAGAATCTCTGAACTAGAATTGCTTCTCTCTGAAAGGTACCGTAGACTTTGCTAAGCATCAAGTTGGTCATTTGGTTCCTGAATATTGGCACTTTTTGGGAACTTTCTTGGCATTTTAATTGAAGCTCAGCACCTAGGTCTGAAATTTAATAAGAAGAATCTTAAGAGGAATCATCCACATTAAATATTTGGATCATGGCCCCTACTCTTGCTTTGTGGTTGGGCCTTTTTCTGCCGCTTCTGTTGACGGACGCAAAGACCGTTCAGCAACCTGACAGTCAGAGCGACACCCTCAACAAACCTTCATCCCTCGTCAAACTGGAACCACTCTGGACCTCCATGCAGCTCAAGACTGGCGAGGCCCCCAACAAGAGCCTCCCACTCCCAGAAATGCTGGATCTAGATGTGGACCAACCCCGGCGCCTGGCCCGCGGCGCAGAGGAAGAAGAACAACAGTCCACCTTCAGCCAGTCCTTTGAGAACGACTCCGTTACGACACCGCAAGACACAGCGTTTGACAATGGGACTAAAGTAGCAGCAGGAGACCACAACGATCACGAGGTCCACGGAAACACCTCCAGCTTGGACCCCCCAGGACTCTTCAACCCGTTCTACCCGCTGGCGGAAGGCTCGTACGCGGCCTACGCGGTCCTGTTCCTGGCTGGCCTGGTTCTGGCGCTGGGCGTGGTGGGAAACATGGCCGTCATGTGCATCGTCTGGAACAACTACTATATGAGGTCGGCTTGGAACTACCTGCTGGCCAGCATGGCGTTCTGGGACTTCCTGGTCCTGGTGCTATGCCTTCCTGTGGTGGTCCTCAACCAGCTGTCCAATAGGAGGATCCTTGGTGACATCACCTGCCGCATGGTGCCCTATATGGAGGTGGGTGGGGCTTATGAGGAAGTAGGAGGAGCAAGAGAAAGATTGCTTGAAAGTAATTTTTTGAAAGAGTTTTGTTCCATCTGGGCAGAACTAAACAGACATGGTTTTTAATACAGACTTAGGTTTGGGAGTTGATGAAAGTAGAATTGTACCTCTTTGGATGGAGATAGGCTAACAGTTCAGTCATCAGTTCAGTCAATATGCTAAGCTTGACTGTAATGGAGTCTTATTGTAATCTGAGATAGCAATTTAAAGAATGGCGTTCCGGGACTTCCTGGTCCTGGTCCTGGCCTTCCTGTGGTGGACCTCAACCAGCTGTCCCATAGGAGGATCCTTGGTGACATCACCTGCCGCATGGTGCCTTATATGATGGGTGGGGCTTATGTGGAAGTAGGAGGGGCAAGAGGAAGTTTGGTTGAAAGTAATTTTGTTTAAAGCGGTTACTTGTGGCGGGTGAAACAGATTTTGGCAACGGTTTTTTCATCTACTGGTCAATTCTGTGATTTTGTAGGGTGGAATGCAACAGCAATATTTTTATATCATAAATGAAATGCAGCAAAAATGTAAAACAAATATTAGTTTTGGTTGGAAGTCTTGCTGTTTGCGCCCCTATGCCAATAAGTCAAATAACTGGTTGCCAAATGTAAATGGCCATTTGGCAACCATTACTTTTGGTCCCTGTAAATGATATATATTTTTATTTAATTGAAAGGTATTGACTTAAATGTGTTTGTTAAAGTGCCCAAACATCTAATATGACAGTTTTGTTCTAAATTTACAACAGTTTTCTTATCTGTATTTTTGTGATATATGAACTATTGCTAAAGAGCAGAGATTCAGTCGTTTTTTTGCCAGTCACCATGGAGACCTGGTTCTTTGTCTGCTGGGGCGTCCTGCTGCTGCCTTCATGGTTTGACAGGAACACATTTGGGCTGAAACTGTGTTTGAATGATCTGTGACCCTTTACTACAGGTGGCCATATTGGAGTCTTCAGTTCAGAGAATGTTTGACAGTGTTTTGGTCCATCTTGGCAGAACTGGTTACATGGTTTTTAATACAGACTTAGGTTTGTGAGTTCATGAAAGTAGAAGTAGAACAGTTCAGTCATCAGTTCAGAAAAGTTCATAGGCTACGCTTGGCTAAAAACGGAGTCTTATTGTAAGCTGAGATAGCAATTTAAAGAAATTACAGACTCTTAAATACATTTGTAAACTTTTTAGCGGGAACCAATGCGATTCTGCTGAGTGCACAGACATTAACTCAGTAGTGAGAGACGGACTAATGTTGTTGGATGGGTCTGACTCTGCATATGAGATTTTTTTATTTTAAGACACATTAAATAACACCAGACTGATCCTTTAATTTCCTCATGTGGTTTGATTGATCACATTCTGATAGCATTGGGTAGAGAGAGTGCGTGGCACTTTATCCCTTTGAATAACAATCATGGAGAGTTTATACTGTAAAGAAAATATACAAAAAGGAACAAATAATGTCTGTATTTGGACTCATCTTTCTGGCCATGATAGGATTTCCAAAACGTTGGTGCACGGATGTGAAACGTTATACCCTGTGAGTGTGGGGGAAAGTCCCATAGTTTTGAAAGCACCATAAAGCTACAACCAGAACATAGAGCTCACATGCTTTTGGTAGCACTGCTTTCTTATATTTAAAGTTGTACTTCTAACATCACTCCCTAATATCAAAACAGTTGGATATAATTTCCAAAATGTTGAATTTTCCAATCCTTGTTTAGTTTACCGATTTTTGATTGCAACAAAGGTCTGGCAGATCAGACATGTTGTGAATATACATTTTATTTTAATATTGTTTAGATTTGTTATTGTATTACCTTTCTACTCTATTCTATATTTATATTTCATGATTTTTGCAATATTTGTTTTAATTTTAGTCTTTATTTCTCCTACTATTTTTCAGTTTTGCACCAATACACCAAGTCAAGTACTTTAGAAGAAGACGACATATAGAGGAAATGTCTTTCTCCACTCTGTTGTGTTTACACACATTACACACACAGGGAGGATATACACACAACCATATGCAGAGGAGAGGTGGCAGAGCAGAGAGGCTGCCAGTTATCCTGCGCCAAGGGAGCAGTTTCAAGGTTAGGTGCCTTGCTCAAGGGCACCTTGGCAGTGGCCTAGGAGGTGAACTGGCACCTCTCCAGATACCAGCTTTCTTCTTCGGGTCAAACGGGACTTGAACCCGCGACCCTTCGGTTCCAAGACCAAGTCCCTACAGACTGAACCACTTCCGCCAGATATAGGAATTTGCTTGTCCTTGTGTTTAAAGTTGCTATATAAATAAACTTGCCTTACCAAAGCAAATACCTTCAAAACAACCTCCATTGTTCTCGTCCTCTCCTGCAGACCGTGTCTCTGGGCCTCACCTCCTTCACTCTGTGCGCTCTGGGCATCGCTCGTTTCCACGCCGCCACCTCCTCCTCGCAGACCAAGGCCCGGCTGGTGGAGCGCTGCCACTCCGTGCTGCTGCAGCTGGTTCTGGTGTGGCTCACTGCTCTGCTGCTCTCCAGCCCAGAGATCTTCCTCTGGCAGCTCACCCAGTCCGTGTCACCGACATCAGGCCTGCTGGTGGACTCCTGCTCCATCACACCTTCCTCCCCCCTGTCCCTCTACCTGCCTGACTCCCTGCACTCTCTGTTGCTCAAGTATCACCAGGTGAGAACTTAACATACACAGATTTAACTCACAGGAAGAGTTTTAAAGGTCGCCTATTATTCAAAATCCTCTTCTTCATGTCTCTTCTACATCAACATGTGTCCCCTCTTCTTCATGTCTCTTCTACATCAACATGTGTCCCCTCTTCTTCATGTCTCTTCTACATCAACATGTGTCCCCTCTTCTTCATGTCTCCTCTACATCAACATGTGTCCCCTCTTCTTCATGTCTCTTCTACATCAACATGTGTCCCCTCTTCTTCATGTCTCTTCTACATCAACATGTGTCCCCTCTGTGTAAAGAGACTCTGAAAGTTTCAGGAACAAAGATTCTCTCTCTTTTTGTCCTGATCCATTTATATAAAATCCTCTGAAAATTAGCTGATCAGATTTTGGCCACTTTATGATGTCATAACGATGTTTTGTCTTGTGTAACCATTAGCCAATCACCAACCAAGGTAACCCCCCCCCCTTATCACCTGAATCTCCTCCTAGAGCACCATTGAGTTCTTTGTAACCAAACCTCTCTCAGAGGGGCGTGGGGAGGGGCTCCTTATTTTCATCTAAAGTAACAGACAGAGAATCAGCACTTTGGAAACAGGGCTGAAACAGAGGGGATTATGGGTAATGCTGCAATGATCTGTTTGGTGTTTGGAGCCAAACACTTCAGAGATATGTTCTGTATATATCTGAGACCTATAATATATTGATGAAAAACAGTATATAGGAGACCTTTAAGTAACTAACTCACCAAAGTAGTTCTGGAAGTAGACCTGACATCTTCCATCTCTTCATTGGCTCAGTTTCTCTTGGGATTGAGTACTAGATCTTTATTGTGACTGACATTGAAAACAATGAGCGTACTCAGAATAGACCAGAAATTATAAAATAACAAGGTTTCTTTAACTGTCACATGAATCAATTAGAGATATGAATGCTTACTGATTTACTTTTGAAAGTTGATCAAACAATCAAATTATGTGGTGAGTTTAAATGTCAAATTGTATTCTTGACTGTGCAAAAAGTTCAAAATAGTAACCTAAATTCTGGTAAAAACCCTAACCATGACCCTCAACTCTACGCCAAAGTACTTTACAGAACCATAAAGTACCAGATCGTACCAGAAGTTTTCCAAAATGCTCCACAAGGTCATCAGATGTTTGCTGTTCTCTGTTGCAGGGGCGTATGTGGTGGTGCTTCGGCTGCTACTTCTGCCTGCCCATCCTCTTCACCGTCCTCTGCCAAATGGCCACCCGCAACGTCAACAGCGACTCCAGCTCCACCCAAAAGCAGCGCAGCCATGACGACCGCTCGAGCAATCAGAAGCACCAGCAGCACCAGGCGTTGGAGCGGCAGCTGAACTGCACCCTGCTGGCGTTGGCGGTGGTTTACGGCGTCTGTGCTCTGCCCGAACACGTGTGTAACATCACGCTGGCCTACGCTAACATCTCCATCTCCGAGGAAACTGCCTCCATGCTGGCTCTGTTGCATCACTTCCTGTTGTTCTTTAAGTCATCAGTGACACCGGTCCTGCTGCTGTGTCTGTGCAAGGTAGGTCAAGCTGTTAAAAATAAAGTATTGTTGACTTTAACGGGCCCCTTTTGGTCCTCTTCAACCAGAACTGATCACACACAGCTTTAAGACCCAATGATGTAACTATATGTAACTATAAGGTATGGGACTTCACTGGTGCATTTAGCGGCCATTCTACATAGTAGTAGTACCATCACTTGCACAATCACACGTCCCAAGTAGAAGGGACTCTTAACAATATTGGGTTTTTGCCGATCTCCCATTCGCCGATTTTGACAAATTGGCAATGCAGATACCAAAATACTTACATATTTTTCCATCTAATTGCAGAAGAACACAAGGTCTCTCCTGTAGATATGAATGTGATGTACACTGCTTTTAAGACCAACACATTAACTGGGCAAAATAAGAAAACAACTAAATGAAGTTTAACTTAACACCAATGTATGCCGTTGCCGATATTTCCTTGTATAGCCTTTGTCTGCCAATACCAACAACATGCCAATAACATCAGGCATCCCTAGAAATTTTAAAACTGATATCTTGTGTACCATCTTGCTTGGGCATGTACTCAGAAAAACGGCATGAGATCACGTCCGAGACAAAGAGTCTTGGGCTGATGGATAGGCACCCTCACTTTGTCAATTACTTTAGCGGTGTGGCTTCAACAGACTTGACAACTATTCCTTTAAATATATTGTTTGGTGTGGTAGAAATTGATGCTCACTATTTTTTGCATTTAAACAACAAACCTCTAGCCCGTTCAGATCCAGCTGTAATAGTTAGAGTGGTTACAGTAATATAGTTCTTTGAAAGCCGTTAACGGACAGCTCTGACTGCTTGTCGTTGTGTTCCAGGCTCTCGGTCAGGCCTTCATGGACTGCTGCTGCTGCTGCTGTCAGGAATGTCAGCCGAACGCCACTCAAGGCTCACCAAATATCAAACTGAAGGCGGCCAATGAGACGTCCATCTTCTTCGACAAGGCTAAAGAAACCTCAGCCATCTTGTCGATCTCCAGCTAGAGCTATAGCATCCAACATCTCCTCTTCCATAAAACAACCTATCTTCTTTTGTATCCTCAAACTCTGTTTCCCTTCTACCCTAAAGTTCCTTAACGCTTCAGTTTCCTTTATCCTTTCTTCTCCACAACGCTTGTTGACCAACGACCATCTTTTCTTCATCTTCATCTGTCCTCTTTCCTTCTCTCAGAGTTTCCATTTGTATGATATTCCTTTATGGACACAGTGTTACCCCTTTCAGCTTCCTGTCTGTGCAGGAAGTGATGCTTAATCCGTAGTGATTATTAGAAAACTTGCTGTTCTTGCACAACCACCTGTTGTAAAACTAGGAGCCCGTTTCAGGACCCTCCGAAAGGACACTTTCCTCCAACTGGTGTAAAAATGTATGATAAGAAAATTCCTGGATGTCTTCTTTGGTTGGTCTGAAGCTGAATGAGATATTTCTATAAGGAAGATCTACTGTGCAAAGCTAAATGAGTAGTTTCAAACTGTGATGGAAGATTGATGAGGAGTAAAAATAATCTGCTTTGAGGTTGTTTAGTGCCACACAAACATATGTTGGTATAGTGCAGAATCAAGTGAGTAACTTCTTAGTTTTGGCTCTGACTATTAACCTCATTTGCTGAAAAGAGTGTACAGTTGACGCATTGTTCTGTATATTGAAATGGTGACAACCTGTGGGGCCATTGATCATTAGTCCATCTGTCAAACTATCAAGAAAAAAGAGGTAGACGTCTATGAAGAGCTATTAAATATAACTGTATGACAACTATGTCCACTGGCTAGCGTGAATCTGGAAGAAAACACCTCATCGGGTAAAGGGGACGAAAAACGCCAACAAACGTCTAATTTGAGAGATTATGAAACCATCAGTAAGTGAGGTTGTCCATATCTGTTTGACATATTTTGTTGTGAGCTACTTGTGTAAGATGTCAACCCTGGTCAGAGTTCAGATAAAAAGTGGTCTCTATGTAACAGCAATCAACCAATCAGAGCTTTGTGAGCATGATTATGAAAGAATATGTCTTTATCTGTTTGCAAACTATGGATGAAATGAACGAAGCTGAACTGTTTATAGTCAAATTATTTTTACAACTTGTATTTCTGGGAAGAATAATGACTGTTTCAGAAGGAAGCAAGGGGGGGAAGGGAGGAGTTTTGAACAGGACCAAGACCTTATAAGTGCTGAGGCGGTGTCTTTGTACAGGAAGTTAAACTGTGTAGTACATTTTAAAGCATATTAATATGTCTCTAGCACAGTCTTTTCACTCAGACTGTCAAACAACTAGAACAAAACGAAGAAACAGAAGTTATGAATGTAGCTTGTTTTAATGTTAGATCTACAACTAATTCCATCTCTGTGTGAAGGGAATAGAGATAGTCATTTTTCTATGTCACAAGAATGTGTATAATGCTCAGTTTCACAATGTAAAATCCATATAAGTATGTGTCAGAGTCGCCTGTGCCTTAGTGCCTCCTCAGCCCTCAGCTAAATCAACGCATTCAGAAACAAGAGTAGAAGTCTGACTAACTTTGTATTCAACAAACATATCTTTTACACTGACTAGTTACTTTGTATTTGAAATTCCAATATGGAGAAAGAGCTAGAGCGTCTGGATGCTAAAATTCACTGTTTGATAAACAGCACTTTTACAGTGGCCCCGATCTACAGAAGGTCAAGATGTTTGTTTCCAATTTTGCACAAAAGAAATAAGACATACTAACAGCTCGAGTCCCACTGGTGTCGTGTTTGAGTTCCTTGTAAATGTGAATGAAGTTGACATTGAGTGCCCTCACAGAACAGATTAACTTTAGTGCCTGTCTTATATTTGTCTTTTTAAGTGTCTCTGAAGGTTGTTTTTATCTTGTGAACAAGGCATAAACCAACCATTGGGATGTAGAGGTGGTAATTTATAAATAAAGCTGTGCAATTTAAACTGGATTTGTCTGGAGAATTTATTGATGCAATATTGATGTGACTGAGCAAGCTGACAATAACCGTAACATGTCTTTGTATTCATTAGTTCAAGTAACAAGTGGAAGAAGCTATTTTGGGTGTAGGTCCATTTATTCTTACAAAAGACAATGTTTTGTGATTTCCCGCTTCTTTTATTACTAGGTTGTGAAACTCCTGGTTGAACAACTGTGTTAGAAATCTGGTTCTTTGATAAATAAGAAAAGAAGCCGGTGATCAAAGACACCAAAGGAGAGAGATGTCAGATGACCAAGGTGCTTTTGGGTAAGAAATATCTGAACACTAAGCCTAACAGTCTGTCCCGTTTTTAATCACAATACTGAAAAGATTAAAATGGGTGTAAAGAGTTGGGATAAACAATTCAGGACCAGCGTACCCTTTGCAACTCAATATGATTGCTATCTTCAGCTATCCAGAAGACACGCTGTTTTACTTTGAACGTTTAATATGGTCTAATAGAGCCATCAGGCTGATGATTAAAGCAAGTTATTAACTATATGACAAAATATTCTATAGTTAAATACATAAGAATAAAAAATGGCAATGTTAAAAATTGGATGAGATGTTATCATCAAAGACAAAAGAAACAAGATCATTAATGTCTGAATGTAACTCAATATGTGAGTTGAATGGACTCAGATTTTGGCTTCAGCAGCAAAAACACTGGATCAAACCATTAATGAAATAAAACACACAACATGAAAAATGTGCTTTATGCAGAAGCTCATTAAAGCTTTTTGTTGTGTGTCTGTCATGTCGTTTTAAACGGTGTAAAGGAATCCGCTCTGAGAAGATTTTCTCTCCTCAGAGCGGCTGCTGCATATCAATGACCTCACTACTGTCCCGTTGCCATGGGATCCCAGCCCAAATTCGCACACACACACACACACGGACACACACACAGTTCTGTTAATTTAGAAACTCAAACTCTATTCTAATCAATGTGAGCCCCCCCCCCCTCCATCCTTGTCTTCGCCTCGTTACCCCCGACAGCCCATGAAGAGGACTTACACATTTAAAGGAAAATGATTTCTTCTGTCCTGCTCTCCACAAAATGATGCAAAGACTATTTAAAGAAACTTCTGGCACAAACGTGATCACTGTCAGACAGCCCTTTCTCAGTCATAAATAACCTGAATAATAAAATGGCCCATTTCAGAATAATTAAGATCATATAATTGAAGGTCTGGATTCAGTTGTGGCTTTTTCAAAAACAGCTCTGCAAATCGCATCGACAAACTTCAACAGCTTACAGAAAGAGGTCAGAATGTATAGAAGTCTATGAAACAATTACCCTACTGATGGCTTGTTCTATAACCTCAAGAATAACATTTCAGAATAGAATAGAATAGAATCGGAGGGATGAAACCCTCACACACAGTGACATGTGTTCTCTGCTTTTAACCCATCCTAGTACCAGGAGTCTAGTACTAGGAGCAGTGGGCCGCTATTGGACAGCGCCCGGGGAGCAATGGGAGTGAGGGGGTGGGGGGGTGTCCGGTGCCTTGCTCAAGGGGTCATTTATATTATCATAATTGATCATCTGGATTCAGTTGTGGCTTACTTCAAAACGTTTTGGCAAATCGCATCTGACAAACCTCAACAGGTTGTCAGATTGTATAGAAGTCTATGAGACATGCTTATGACTTGATTTATGACCATGTTTAATACTTTTTCTAATAAATGTTTGGTCCCAATGGCTAGTTTTAGGTCTTTTTGAATGCAGCATGATGTTCATTTTGTATCTTATGGTCACAATAAAGCAGGGTATGCTTTGGGGCGGGGCTACCTGTACCTGGGACGTGTTTTTATCTAACTACTCAAACTACAGTTTTCAGTTCATGAAAGTCTATTTTAACAACAATGACAAGAATATATTGAAGCAGTTGGTTACACATGGCTCCACCTTCCTGTGTCCCAAAAATAACAAGATGGCGACGACCAAAATGCCAATCTGGTGGTTCTTTTACGCATAGTGGAAGTGGGTGGACACCAGAAATCATTCAAATGTTCTTTTACCAGTTTCCTCAAAATTCTGTTTAATTTGCGATACTTTTCAACGGAAACCTGACCAGCGATACTCCAGGAAAGTGAGAAAATAAGTTTAACATAGGTAAACTGACATTTTAAAAAGTGAGTAAGAAAAGAAGTAGGGAAACAGAGAGAGATTCATGGAGAGCTGGAGGAACAGAGTGTTTCAGGAGGTTGGTGATGTTGTTCTCATTAGTAGTGATGAGAGCTCGCCCCTCTGATACAAACTACTGAACAGACCACCTCTGTTCACTAATGAAGCCACACACACACACAGAAACACACACACACACAGGGGCGACTAGACCACCATTGGTCATGCGAGAACATCTCGAGGACAGACTGGATGGGAACCAACTGTTACGTAACAGAAAGGTCACAGGTTCGAGTCCCACATCTATCCGTTAGGTGAGTCTACGCTTCACATCCACTTCTCACTTACCTTTATAGATCTCCCTGACTCAGTGCCGGAGTACGCCAAAACAAACATCTGTGAGCAAAAGTAGACAGATTCTCTAAAATCAATCAGGAAAGAAGACCTTAATTGGGAAAGGTTGGCCAAAGTCAGTTTTACCAGGAAAATAATTCATTGGAATCCTCATTTAGAGTTTGTCCATCACTCATCAGCAATGTGGTTCTGCACAGATGCAAAGAGGATGTGAACTATTCGTATTTGGCTATCAAGCAACTCTCCAAATATGTCTCTTAAGACACACACCAGGCCGATTATCGGCGTCGGTGGGCGTCAGGCCAACGATGAGCGTCGACACGCCCTACTCAGATTGGTGTGTCCCGCACCGTCGGGTCTTTTCAACCGAATCGGCGGGCAGTCGGCCAAAGCAATCACTCCGATTGGCTGTTCAGCTAGCGAATCAGTGCATGAGAAGCGAAACGGAAGTTAGGGACCCAAACAAACTATTAAGAAGGCAAATCTGAGATTTCATTTAACTCCAGCTCTTGACACAGGTTCGGGAAAGCCCCGTGAGCTTCTCGTTGTAGAGTGAAAATGGAACGCACACGCGACTTGTTGTTTGTTTATATCACGCAGTCTGTTCTTCTTCTCTCGGTTATCACGCAGTCTGTCTTCTGGTTGTTGCCTCTTTTGAATGACGAATACACACTACCGCCGCCTGCTGGTCAGGAGAGTTATTGCCACTCACACATGCGCAGTTCGTACGTGCTTCTTGGCCGTCGGCTGAAGCGGGATCGGCGTCATGGGGGGTCATTCGCGGGCCAGGCATGCCCCCCCAAATGAGTCACTGTGCCCCCCCAATGCAGGGTGGGCAAGCCTTGCCACTTTGCCGTTTTTTTTTCTTTTAATCATATAAGTGAAAACGTTTCCACTAAAGGTTGTTTGTGTGAAATACATCAGAAATAAATAATACAAATATGAAACACAGCCTGAGGTGTGCTCACTGCTGCTCTCTGATTGGTGTGTTGCTTGACCAATGACCCCCGACTTTTGTTTTGTTATCATAACGTGGCTGTGTGTTTAGATGAAAGCCCAGTGGCGATCTGTTCATCTGTTACACTGATTATACAGTAAAGCCATCGAAAATAATATGATATACAGTACAGTACAAGTAGCCTACTTCTGGGTCTCTGTGTTTCATTCAAGCTCGGCTCTCTGTGTGTGTGTGGCACGAGCGCATTTTGTGAGTGCGCGAGCGGTAACGTGGAATGTTGTTGTTAGCATCTGGTTAGCTAGCTATGCTAACGGATATAAAGGGCTGTTTCTACACCAAGGTGGAGGAGAGTCCTCTCCTGTCAGACTGAGAGGATCTTATAACGTCAGCTCAGTGAGGTAAGGACTCTCAGTATTTAGATAGTTAACTTTACTGTAGGTTAACTTATCTCAGTGGGTCTCAAACGGTTTGGTCACCATTTATGTAAACAAGTATTTGCGAGGAATAGGCTACCTTTATATGATCATATTATAGTTATTAAGAGAATAAATGAAAAACGGGTATGAAATACTATAGGACAGTAACACAAGAATACAGTTTAAAAGGGGAGTGATTAGTAAAATATCCATAAAGAAAAAGTAAATCTGTGTACAGTTCTGTTTCATATGGATGTTGAGAGATGTAGGCTATCCATAGATCTCTTCATTTTGCTCTCAAAGTGCATCAGATTGATGTATTTAACTTCAATATTTTAAAAATAATCTTCCCGGGGGAGCATGCCCCCAGACCCTCCTAGAGGAGGTTAGGTCCACCCCCACCTAAAACATGTTCACATGGATAGGATACTAAATACATTTGCACACTTTGTATATGGTGGCCTATGTCCATATGTTTCTGTTTTGGTGGTCGTGCCACAACCGTGCATGTATGCACAAGTCATAGGTGCGCTATAAAATAGCACTACACCCTGCAATGTGTATGAAAAACAACAGACTTTACAGCATGTTTTTTTAATTGAAGTTGCGTTGGTGTTTGTGTGTTGGTTGTTGACGTTAGTGTGTGCCCCCCCTTGGTAAATGATTGCCCCCCCCATTTGATTTGTTCTAGAGCCGACCCTGGGCTGAAGTCTTTGCGGTTTGTTCCAGTGTGAAACATGGCCAAGACGCAGAGACGCGAGGCGACGCAACAGTCGGGGTCCGTCCGTGTCAGTTCTTTGTTGTCAGATTGGTGTGTCCCTATAGATTCAGTGAGACTAACCCTTCCCAGAGGAGATCATTACATCACATTTAAATCTAGACTAGACATTTGCTTAGAAATGAGAGATAAAGACGATTGATTGGTGTGTCCGGACCTTTATAAGCAATTGAACCACCTCAGCCCAGCTTATCAGACACTAGCCACTCCCTAAGTTTGTTTTTAGACAAAAATATAAGTGACTGATATGATTGTCATATTCCTTATTTCTAATGCAATATAAGTTGAATTTAGCACTGTGACCACGGCGGCACATGGTCCTGATTTTAAATGATT